TATGCCTTAGGCTAATTTTTTTCTCCAAGTACATATGATTATTTACAAGTATTCCAGGTAATTGTCCATTTCGATACGATTAACATAATCATAAAATGTTCTCACATAAAACTACAATGACTTTATACTTTGTTAATAAAATGTTGATTGCTTTTGTGGAAAATATCGAATTTTAACAAGAAAAGGGGGGAATGCGGAGCGATTAAAGTGGTGATCGAAGAGAGCAGGGGGCGAAGTTTCTAAGTAAATTAAAAAAAATGCGAACACAACAAATTAAAGTATTACGTGACGATTAAAACATTATGTATTTAAAAGCTAATAAACACAAACGTTAGTCTCAAATACTTCTTAAATATGCAAAATTTCCAAATTATTAAAATTAATTGATTTTGAGAAACTAAAAACTTTTCCAGTTAAGGAAACTAATACTGTCGAAATAGTTAGTAAAAAAAAATATTTGTTAAACTTTTATAGAAAAAATATCACTATGCTATTTAACTCTTTCAGTGGCTCTTTTTGATTGAAATAGAATAATAGAAAGAAGAAAAAAATCAAAGAACAAATAAGTAAAATAAACTAAAAACATTCATAATTACGGATAATGTTTTTTAAAATAAAAATAATAAAAATTATCTCTTTTTTTCACTCGTTTTACGCAAGCAAATAAATTTACACTTAAGTAACTCGTTATTAAATGACTTATAAAGCAAAGTAATACATTAGTTAAAGTAAATTTTTTAATCAAATACTACAATTTTACTTATTAACATCAATTATTCTTCCCTATTTACAATGTTAAAAAATTTACATTTGAACAAGAAAAAATTTATAAATTTGAAAAAAATTAAAAACTTTAGAAATGTATTCATATACAAATCGAACTTTATTTGAAAGTTTCGAGAACTTACATTCAAATTTAACTTACAACTGGAACCTCAATATACAAAACTTTTAATTTGATTTACAATAACTAATGAATTTGAAACATCTAAAAGGGATAATAGATATAAATAGTTTAACTTATCTCTATAGTTTTATGTATGAATTTTTAGCAATCTAAAAGGATTTTCAATACAGACAATTCTAGAACTTTCAAAAGTTTTTAAGAAAAATATTGTTTACAATCAAAACACAAATGAAAAAGTGTGTAACAAAAATAAAAGTTAATACAGATAAATGTAGAAATCAAATTTAATAAACATAACCAAAATAATAATAATATGTAAGTACTAATAAGGAAAAATAACATAATACTTTAAAAGAGTAAATTTTTCTTCTTATATTGTCGGACAAAATATTAAATTTATTTCAGTATTGTCATTAAAGTACATTGCAGAGAAAAATTATTATGAAAAAATATGTAAATGAATAAAATTGCCAATTTTTAGTTAGTAAAATATTTTTGCTAACGATAGTTACATAAGAACAAAAAATCATGCAATATTGTGTTAAAGGACACATCTCCCCCGTTCATACTTTATCAATCAAAATATCCTATTTATTTCCACATTATTATTATTATTATAGGGTCCATTACAAAGAGAAAGTTATTTTTTAAAAGCGTAATACTAAAAATTTTTAGTTCATAAAATATTTTTGCATGACGATTCAGTTTTAAAAAATATTAAAATATGTTGTCAATGGACGCCAGCGAGTAAATAACGAAAGATAGAATTTGCTTTCAAATATTATGGATCAACATTTTTAAATAAAATTAAATCATTCGAAAACTAGCAACAAACATGATAGTTTGATGGCTTTTTTCATGCTATTTTAAATTTCTAAAAACTGAAGAATAAATATGATACTCTCTTTTATTATTTTAAATAATATTAGTTAAAAAGTAAAGAAAGCATCGGACCACTGGCGATAGTTGCACAAGGTAGAAAAATATATATACTTCGTTATGCTTAAAACCAGTTGCAAGAGACAAGAGATTGTTGTAAAATATTTTTGTTTCTGAAATCCGGTTTCAGCCAGGATTAAAGTCTCACATAAGTGATAAAAAAAAAAACTTTGAGGTTTTATTTTACACCTCTGAGAAGAATTATTGTGGTTTCGATGGCTATCAACCTGGCTATTAACAGTGCGGAGATGTTTTTAACTGCAGCTTGATTACATAGTAAAGAGAAGATATGAGATATTTACCTTAATGTATTTTGATTTTTGCGCCGAAGGAATTTATAGTATTTTCTGTCGAATAAACAAAGGAAAGAAGTACTAATAGTGTTAATACTTTGTTCCTTTTTTCCCCCTTTAACGCTATTTTTCGAAGCTCTGTCGCCAAGGAAAATAAAAAAGTCATAGTTCAAGTGCTTTAAACTTGAAGCATTACGATGATTTTAAACTAGATAGATAATCTTGCCGTGCAGAATTATCTGGGAATTAGAACAGACAAGTAACTTAAATATTTTAAAAGTTATTAAAAAATCATCAATATGGCGACATTTTTCACCTAGAGAAATTATCAAAATTATTATTATTATTAGCCTTATTGTCAGTTTTTGAAAATTTTTATGAGCCCAAGTACTGCAGCATTGGAGTAAGTTTTTAATTATAAAAAAAAATGGACACATAAAAGCTTTTCATTTTCCCAAAACTGTGGCCTTTCTTCATATTGACTTTTTGCGCCATTTTCAAAGTAAGCATAGACAGCGCTGGCTTTAAATAGGCTAAACTTGTCTTAACAGTCGTGTGTAACAGTTACAAACTCACAGCAGTTATAAAAATAGCATTTTATTCTCAAAGCAGCATAATTTCATATTACGATGGAGCCTTCGAAAAAAAACCTTAAAGAGAAATAACTTAAAGTAAATTAGCGGTTTCCGATATTTTTTTTTCTTCTTCCTTTTGTTATGGAACACAAAATGAACGAGTTTCTCTTTGTAGGAACCCCTGAATTAGAAAAAAAAAGTTTATCAGTATCTGGGAATATACTAACAAAAAAAAGAAGAAAAAAAACTTCTAATTATTTTTAAAATAATTAATATGAAGAAAAAAATATTTAATATTATGAATTTTTTATTGGCGTACGCATATGTTAAAAATGAATAAAATAAACTGAATTATTGTTTTAAAAAACACCTGTTTTAAACATTGAGAATAAGTTATCAGAGAAACGTAAGTCTTTTTTTCATGAATTTAGTTACTTCATTGTGAATTGAAAAACTTGATGAGAAATACTTATAAATGCATAGCCTTTCCAGAATTTATTCGATCCATTTTTATACAAACTTAAAAAACATTTTTATTAAAACTTATTAAAACTAAATTTTGCTACTATTTTTTTTTACATTGGCGTTTTGCATTATTAAATTCATATAATAACCGAAATATTAAATCAACTATGGATTACTGGTTTGATATTATTATAATTATTACTGTTTAATTCTTCCACGGAACCCTAGGGTTCCACCTTCTGAGAACCGCTGTCATAAGCAACCCTCTTAAATTCAAATTTTTCTTTATGCTATGGATGATTAATAAATGTGGGAACACTAACTTCGCTTGATATTTTTATTTCGTTATATTTTGATAATATTTATCAAATTCGAAATGTATTTTTTAAAGATAAATAAACTCCTCCGATAATGTGATAAAACTTTTAAATGCGAATGCCTTTTATACTATCTTAATTTACTATGGGAACAAGTATTTATAAAGTCTTTTTTTTTTTTCATTGTCATATAATAATTTCCATAAATCCTAAAATGAGTTTTTACGAGAAATAACACAAAAAAAACTGTTATAAGACTTATAAATTCAAACTTTTTAATGTTTTGCTGATTTAAAATGGAAAAAAAAAATTCATAATGTCATTTTTTTTTCTTTTGCTATTATATAATAATTTTCATAAAACCTAAAACGAGAAAATAAAAAATATAATAAAACTTTTCTTTTACATTCTAAGTTAATTTAATATGGCAACAATTAATTCAATGATATCTTTCTTTCGTTATCATTAACAATTTCCATCTAACCTAAAATGAATCCTTATGTAATAATTGCTATTAGTATTTTTCTTTCATTATCTTTTGACAATTTTCATAAAGTTAGAAAGGAATTTCATAAAGAGCATAAAAATATCGTAAAACTCTATCTACGCGATGTCTCTTGAATATCAATTTTGTTATAGTAAATATGTAATTATTGTAATATGGAAAAAAATCACTTTTAATAACATTTTTCTTTTTCTATCCATTAATAATTTTCAAAAAATTCAAAAGAATTTAAAGATCAAAAAATGCAATAAAAATCATAAGTTGGAATATCTCCACTCTATGATAATTTAATATCGAAACACCAACTAATATTTTTCTACACACTAATTAATTGACTAAAATATTTTCATCTCTTGTTATTTAATATTTTCCTTCCTTGTTATTTAAAATTTTTTCATTTTCTAAGCATCTTTAAACATTATAAGCGGTCATTAAAGAAAATACTGTAAATCTGCTCGGTAAAAATTGACAAAAAAGTCAACACCGACAAAAATTTGAGCAAAATTCGGTTTATATTATACTGCATACCTTAAATACATTCCAAATAAATAAATTAAAAAAACAGAATCGCTGTCTTTTAAATATTATCCTGCCCAATCGCAATACTTACACAAAATCAGCTGTTCAAACATATGATTTGTTTTAAAGGAAAAAACAAATAAAACGCTTTGTTTTTTACAACAACGCCTCAAAAATATTTCCATCACCTCGAAGATATCAACATAATGCTACATTTCAAGGTAAAATAACATTTATGTAGCCCATACAAAAACACACATTAAATGTGAAAGGAATAAAAACATACTATATACTTTTTAAAAGCTGATATCTAAGTATAAAACTAACTGCTAGTAAACGTGAGAAGGCCTAGAAAGTCAATACTCGACAAGTGGATTTTCGATGGGACAAAAAAATGAAGATGACCATCTTCAGTTGATACATTTGGCGATTAAACAAACAAAAAGTGAAGTGTAAAATGCCAGGTGGGCAGGCACTTACCTCCAGAAGTGGGGCACATATCCGGGACATTGCTTCGAATCTCTTTTCACCAGATTCCTCTTTTCCATTCTCCGATTACTCTCTGAAAAGAAATAAAAGATTGATACTGTGGGTGGGAAATAAGAATAAAATAACAATTACTAACTCTTCCATGCACTTAAATAAGCATTTTGCATGCATAATGTCATTTACATTTAAAGAATTATAGACCGACGTTCTCTACAACTATTGAATTTTTAGATAGTACAAAAGTTTAATGAATTTATGAATTAGGTTTTAGAGCCAGCAAACGGATTTAGGGGGCAATTTTCGAAATGCAAGATTAACCCTTTGATATATATATACTGCCCGCGCTAAGGATTTAAAACTATTAGCCGGTAAATTAGCCAAATATCAGAAGCATTCGCCAATTTTCGAAAATCTTCGCCAAAGGCAATCTTAACAATTTCTTACGGTAAAATTTTTTCCCCACTGAAAACTATTTTACGGTAGTTTATTTCAGGCTTTTGTTATTTGGATCCAATTATGATTGGTTATACAGCGCATCTACCAATAATTACTGTAACCGAATAAAAAATCACTGATTTGTTTAGAAAAATTCATTTTGACTTAATTTTAATTTCGCTCCATTGGAAAAAATTATCCCCCCCCCCGCAATACTTTCGCCACAACACAATTTTATTCGCCAAATTTACCATTTTATCGCATTTGGTGAGGTGGCGAATGCAATGCGAGGATCCTGCATAATCGCTCTAATTAAAAGCAAAAATATATTTCAGTATTTTTTCATTATAAAAAACATTCTAATAATTACTACAAAAACCTGCTAGATTATCGGAATTATATTTGTACTAAATATAAAATCCCAAAAAAAGTAGATATATTCAAAAATAATTGATGACTAAATAATTGATTTTGAAAACTAAAGACATTTCAATGATGAATAACTGTTTCTCTAGACCTAAAAAACTGCAAATTTGACAGCAATGAATGATTGATTTTGTAAATTAGAGAGATTTCAATGATGAATGACTGTTTCTCTTACACCTAAATAACTGCAAATTTGAAAAATTACCGTTTGAAAGATTTTACCTTTCACGCAGAAAAAGACACCGGTATTTCAAGCTGTATTTCATAACCATAAATTATTAAAATGCTAAATTTATAATATTAAAAATAAGTAATATTTTCCTTTATTTTAATCTAAATCAATACAAAATAATGAAAAATGCATGAAAAATATTATGTAAATTATTATGTATGTATTAAATAAGACCATCTAAGATTTGATGAGTTTTACAATAGATTTTCAATCAACAATGTTAGATACCAAAGATAAGTACAACGATTAGGTTCTAATTCCTGTAGAATTTTTAAAAAATAATTGTAACTACCAAAGAAGTGCCTGTTGGTTTGAATCGTTTTTTACCAGATTCCTCTTTTCCATTCTCTGAAATTGTGGTGGGAAACAAGAATAAAATAACAATTTCTAACTGTTACATGCACTTAAATAAAAACATTGCAATGCCAGTTACATTTAGAGAATTTTGGACCAATGGTCTCTACAAGTATAGAAATTTTATATAGAAGCTAATTTGAATAAATGTATCAATTTGGTTTTATAGCTCGCTACTGGATTTCGTGTTAATTCCTAAAATGTAGGGTTAAGATATATATTTTCAATCTTTTATAGATTTTCAATCAACAATGTTAGATACCAAACTTAAGTACAAGGATTAGATTCTAAATCTGGTTGTATTTCTTGAAAAATATTATTGTAATCACTGTAAAAAAGCATGTTGATTTGAATATCTTTTCACCAGATTTCCCTTTTTTATTACAATTATTCAAAAATAGATGTACGCTTACGAAAAGTATGCATAACTTAATAAAGTAAAATTGGCTGGACTAAAATAAAAAATAAAAAAATTCATTTTAGAACGTGCGACAAAGTTCAACCCCGTCATTTGTTGTCACGCGGTATAATTATAATTGGTTAGTATTAATATAAAAGCATAAAATTATCTAATAATTAAAAAAATAATAATAATAAATCTATAATTTTTAAGCACTTAAAAGTGTTGAGCGGTCGTTTAATATTCATATAACTGATTAAAAATTTTGCAATAAAATTTTTTTAGGACTAAATGTCGCAATATTTCAGGGTATGCTAGCTCAAAGTAAAATCCACAGAAAGTTGATACAGTCTAGTATTCAAAATAATAAAGCTGCGACTGTTATCATATCTCCATGATAATAATTATCTTGCAAGATAGTATCGGGAAATACTATATTACAAATAAATTATACTGTAAACGTTAAAGGTAACCAACCATATTACAATTATCTTTTGGTTGGTACTCGGAAAGGTCACTATTTCAGTTGTTAGAAACATGCATTATTATGTGATTCGTGTATTTGAAAGATTTATCAAAATAAAACTTTATATAATAGAATCAGAAAAAATAAAACACTTTATAAACTTTATGAGCATTTCAATAGTTTAAATTCTTAAAATCTTAATTTCGCAGATTGCTTTTAATTTTTAACTTTTAAAAAATATTTTAATCATCAAATTTTTAAAAAAAAATAAATTTAGTATAATATATAAATTATGATTTTTGATTTCTTTTTTTCATCTACATAGTGAAATAGGGTCAGTTTTCAGACTTTGGTTTTACACCGCTTATAAACTATTCATTAAGTTTCAAATTTTCTAAATGTGAAAAAAGGAAGGAAATATAAGAAAAAGGGAAAAAAGAAAAAATGGAGAAAAAGAAGAAAAAAAAGAAAAGAAGGGAGGAAGAGGAGGGGGAAGGAAAAATGAAGAAAATATCTAAGTGAATAATTATTTTACTCTATAACAATTTCACTTTTAATTTTTTATTTGCTATAGAACAATATTCAAAATAGGTTTTTCATTTCAGATGTTTAAGTCTTTTTCTTTTCTTTCATCGATAGCATAGTATTTATCTGAATTGCGAAAAATCAATTAAGGTGGCATATTCCATGTACATTTCAAGCAAACATTTTCTTTTGTATTAAATTCGAATTCGAATTCGTACGTACATGATACACGACTTTGACCAGACATAAGTCATCGACTCTAAAAAGCAACCAAATATTCCATTGTCAATAAGCAGCGGCGATAAAAACGAACAAAAATATTCCGGTCTTTATAAGGAATTTTCCAAAACACATATGGTGTAAAATGAAACACTTTAGAACATCACGCACTGAGTTTTGTCGGACCAGAACCAATTTGTGGACACCATAATAATGAAGAAAAAAAAAACCATTTTTACTAAAGATAAGGGTGCCGTTGAGAAAAGATAAAATTGTACCTTCTTAACTTGAGTTGAGATCTCTGCAAAGGAAATCGGAAAATATAAATTGATGCCGACATTTACTACCGATTTTTTGAGGCCATTGGAGAGAATGAATCGGAAGAGTTATTTATCTGCGAGGAAAAGTGACAAGTGAGAGTCTCTAATGCGTGAGATAAATAAGAAATTAAACAATGAAAAAGGAAAACATGGATAGAAGAGAAGAATATTAAATCGTACTTGATGATAAACAGAATCGTAAAAGTTGAAGCACTTCTCATTTTCTTAGCGTAAATGAAAGTTATTTGGTTTGATACCCTAATTCAGAAACTTACTGCGTAATATAGGTAAGTGTGTACACCTGTGGTTATTTTTGCAAAATTCTTGTATAAAGTTTACAACAAAATTTTTACATTCTTATAATGTAGGTGTTCCTAATTGTTTTTTCCTTTTAACTGCGATTTTATTATTATATTATAATGGGATGCAAAACCTATGGCCCGTGGGCCAAAAGTGGCCCACAAAGCCTCTTCTAAGCCACTCTGAACTGTCTAAAATATTAACAAATATAAAAGAAGAAAGTAAGTAATTATTTTTTTAAACCATGTTCTTCATGGTTTAAAAAAATAATTACTTACTTTCTACTGAAAGAGAGGCCAACAAAACCGCCCTGTATATGACTGAATTGACGAATGTTAACACAGGTGGGCATTGGAAAAAAATTTTTTTCTTCAACAGAAAGTTACTGATCTAGTTTAGAGCCTTTCACAAAATATGAAAGTTCTATTAATGCAATGGGTACTGAGTTTGTAGTGAAAATGTAATTAATTATGAAATTGTACAAATAAACTGAAAAAGAAGAAGAAATTTTCGCAAGTTGATAAGTTAAATAAAAGAAAAATATATAAGATTTTAAAATTCCAGTAATAGTCATCACATTGATCTGAAACTGTGTTTGTAACACATTTTGTTTTCTAAATAATAGTCAAAGTTAACTTATAGGTTAAATGTAAATTTAAGTTACCTTTTTTTTGCTACGTGCCCAAAATTTTACCGTAATTTGCTTTGTAATATAGTAAGTATATTTGTTTAAATTTATATACATTATTTATTTTTATTATCTGTACGAGAGCAAAAGATTATACATTTCTAAGTAATTCTTATAACTTTCAAAAAAATCTAAATAATTCCTGCATTTGCATTATACTGCATTATAATAATGTTGGCCCTCAACATTATATTTTGTAGTTTTTGTGACTCTCTACCAGAAAATGTTTGTGCGGATATAACATATTCAAAATTACGGCATTCAAAAAAGCTTGGATTTTTGAGTGAGAAAAAAAGCTGGTGGAATAACAAATTGTTATTCCACCAGCTTTTTCATTACCTCAAGTAATGAAAAACCGGTTAATTAAGAAATAATACAACGTAGATAATCATTGTTACCTGTAATAGTAATTAAATTTATAAACCGAATAATAAGATTGGTAGACTAAATATACATTTCTTTGTTTTATTAAGTATTTACAATAAAATAATATTAATGATTACGATGAAATAATGTAACAAGATTCAAAATGAAAAAAAAAAAAAATATGAATCTAGTGACACTGTCGACTCACTTTGTAAAGTAGTACAAACTCCATGAATCTTATCTCCATGAATACACCAGACTCAAACATAACTTTCTTGTTTATATTTATTTCAACAAACTAGTATTCAATTAATATTTAAGCTTATTTCAATTAATATTTAAGCTTATTTCAATTAATATTTAAGCTTATTTCAATTAATATTTAAGCTTATTTCAATTAATATTTAAGCTTATTTCAATTAATATTTAAGCTTATTTCAATTAATATTTAAGCTTATTTCAATTAATATTTAAGCTTATTTCAATTAATATTTAAGCTTATTTCAATTAATATTTAAGCTTATTTCAATTAATATTTAAGCTTATTTCAATTAATATTTAAGCTTATTTCAATTAATATTTAAGCTTATTTCAATTAATATTTAAGCTTATTTCAATTAATATTTAAGCTTATTTCAATTAATATTTAAGCTTATTTCAATTAATATTTAAGCTTATTTCAATTAATATTTAAGCTTATTTCAATTAATATTTAAGCTTATTTCAATTAATATTTAAGCTTATTTCAATTAATATTTAAGCTTATTTCAATTAATATTTAAGCTTATTTCAATTAGTATTTAGGCTTATTTTATTACGAAGAAAATTAAGAATTACAAAACTAAAAAAATAGAACTAGATTATTCAAACTTATGAGACACTGCGCACTCAAGCTACGAAATAAAATGCTGTCATATAAACTGTTTCAGACACATAAATAAAAGAGGAAAGTATAAAGGTAGAAACAATATAGTGGGTGGGAAGATAACTAGAATAGCTTGGGGTCATAAAGCTATACATAATTGAAAAAAAAATTACATGAAGTGATTCATAAAATATTTAATGCAATAATCATTTTTTAAACTATTTTCACACAAAAATTAAAGCAATGTTAAAAATGATAATTTGTTAGTTACTAATATTGATCATATTTATGAAACAACTTGTCTAATAATCACTTTATTTTATGCAAACACCTTATAAGAATAATAAAGGTTGATAAAGAGAGAAAAATTAAACCCACGGCATAAAAAGAACACAATAATTTTTCTTTACAAAACACATTTCGAGCTCCTAAGTAGTGAATGCATAAAGAAAGAACATTAAATATGCAAAAATCTTAAAAGAATTTTGAAGACAAGATCAGTATTTGAAGATATGCATAAGAGTAATTAATCTTAATTCGACAAAAACACGCCAAGACTACATTAACGAAATTGCGCAAGCAGCATTTGCAAACTGAATCGCAAGCAGCTGTGCAGAGCATGTCACCTAAGCAGACAGACAGGGGGAAAAAAGTGTCACATTTGAACTTGTAATCTGTGTCACGGTTCTCTAGCACCAATATAAAAAAGTGGCGTATTAATAAAAAGAAACTTCCTGGATAAAAAATTAAATAGCTGAATATCTAATGAGATAAGATATTAAAATCTACAGAATTAATGAATTCATTTTATCGCAGATAGCCCACTTGGGGACAGTATTTTTTGCAGATCCTGAACTTGTCACTTGATAAAGTATACCTTTACATAAGTTAAATTCATAAGCTGTTTTTAAAATATGGACTGAACAGCTTGATTAATTTTAATTTTTTGATTAATTTTTTGTCGAAGTTCAGACGCTTTGATTTGATGCGTTCGATTTTAAAACCGGTTGGATACATTTTCTGAAATAAAATTACATTGAAGAGATAAAAAATATTCCATATTCCAGGTTTTAAAACGCAGATAAATGTTTCCGGAAAATTCGGTGACTATTTAAAGTTTTTATCATCAAAAATAAGTAACTAATGTAAATTTAATAAAAGAAAGTGAACTTTGATAAATTAGTTTTGATACATAACAAAATTCGGTCCTTAAATTTCATGGGAAGAAAATAGCAGTACAGACTATACATACAATGATTACATATAACACGGGAATAACATTCCAAAGAGAAACTTCTTTTATATTTAAACTAAAAACACAAATACAGGAACTCTCTGGATCTATTCTAAATATACTTACAAACTCACAATAAAATTTACGATTAGAGACATTCTAAAAAATCGTTTTCATTTTTTAAAACAAGTAGTTGCTACAGCTACAGTTAACATATTTTATATCGTTTGTATCATCCGAATTGTCAATTAATTAATCAGAAACAGTAGCAAAATATGCCTTATTTCGTGGTCGAGGTGAATTTTTCCAAAAAGAAAATCAATAGAAATGTTAAAAAAATAATTGAAAATTATTTAAATTAAGCTGCAGAGATATGATGAATTAAGCACGAAGTAAAGTTTATATTAAGGAGTTCTAATTTTCAACAACTTACCTGGCTAGGTATTTTAAGAGTTTGGTTCTATTTAGGTCAAGAATCCAAATCCATCGAATTCAGAATTATGTTTGTGAGTCTGATTTCGTTATTTAATTTACAGGAAACAATGATGAATTAGCACACTTAAATTCTTTCCTCAGAATCCTGTAACATTAAGATTTAATCTTAAGGTAAAAAATATCCATAAGATCAAAAATTATTGATTAGTTTTATTTATTTAATTGCCTCGTCTCTTATTAGTCTAACACATCCTTCGTTTTAAAGAAAACTCGTTTACGTAAAAGCGAAAGAGAGGTAGAAAAAAAAAGATAAAAATTTGATATTGTAAAGCTCATTGCATTGCATTATTAATACCATCAATTTAACCCCGCATATCTTTCTCCTGCCGAATCAAAATAACGAACTCGTTTTCCTCTAAAGTGTTAAAAGATAAAAACCTGATTATCGTTTAAAATTCAAATGGAATTTCAGATAAATCTAGATTACTTTCTAATAACTAACTCTCAAACAGTTCTAAACATACATGATTACGTAGATTACCACAATCAATTAACCTTAAGAACATTAACCTTTTACAGATAGTAGCATGACAGAATTCTTAAAAGGAATTTAAGACGTTTCTAACGTCTTAACAATAAGAAAAATACTAGTGCAGAAGAGGCTTTTTTCACAAATAAACGCAGTGCATTACTTAATCATTAGTTATAGAAAGACGAAAACACGAAGGAGATTTACACGAAAGATCGTGACAGAAATAACTCGAAAAGTTTCATAATTAAATTTCAAACTACGCTTTTGTAATAATAACGACATTCGATCTTGGAAAACAAACAGGGGTACTAGCAAAGGTCCTAACCCCTCACGGCTTTCTCTAAGACTAAGTTAACTTACAATTCGAATTCAATAGAATTACTAGCAATTATTAAGTGAATACAAAAAAAATAATCAAAAATTTGTTTTAGCATTTTTTTTTATAAATTATATTTATTAAATGTCTATGTTCTGTATAAATGTATTTTTTAACCAATCATTTGAATAAATAGTTAAGAGCATTAGAGATCCTGTTAAAAGAAAATTAATAGTTATGCAACTTATATGTTTCGTATATTTTTCTTGATTGAAGTTCCGGGAAAGGAGGGATTATATTACTGTTTTTGTTTAGGATATCATTTTTTTTCTTTAAACTGATAATTTAAATAAGCAAATGCTTTATAGAATGATAAACATTTAAAGAAGAATTAGTTAGGAATACGTGGAACCTGGAGCTAAATTATTTGGTTTTGAGAAATTAAATAAAAATATATTTGAGAATACATTTAGAACGTATATGAGTATACATGCATAACAATATATTATTTCCAATTAAGAGATTTTTTAAACCAAAAAAAAATCTTTTTTTGTTTAAATAAAATTGTTTGATTAAAAAAATAAAAAAAGCGATATATTTTGTTTAAATAAATTTTTTTTTTTACTTAAATCGGATTTATTTGACTTTTATTTGATCTTTAGTTTATAATTGAATTTCGTAAATATAATTTTATTGAGTATTATAATATAATTTTATTGAGTATATAATTTTATTAAGCCTAAATATAATTTTATTTCGTAAATATAATATAATTTTATCAATAAGATTTAAACGCAACAATAAATTTCAATTTACATTTTTTACTTTAAAATTGTTTTTTATAGTACATAATGCATGCAAATGCGAAAACATTCACATTTATTGTATAGAATAGAGGTCCTACTAAGAAACAGCATGGATAAACAAAACAGAAAATTAATTTCACCGATTTTTTTAAAAACAATAATAAAAAAAAAACTTATGAAACGACAAAATATTTGTTGCCTTATACCATACCTTAACACCGGGTCTTCCTTTTTAGAATAACTTGACTTACCCATATTAATTGGGGGGGAGGGGAATCACACTACTATTAATAAAAGGCAATCTGCTGAGCTTATCCAATTTAAACGGCTTTTTCATAAGATATTTAGATATTTTCCTTTTAAAATTATGAATACTTTAAAATTATAAATGCTTTAAAGTCAAAAATTGAATTGAAATAATTTAAATAAAATGTGTATTTTGAAAATTGTGTTAAAAAACTAAGAATCAGTAGGATTTTTTTTTACCACCATGCCCATATTCTGTAACTACTTGGAACAGAAACATAACTTATATGTAAAAAAAAAATTTGCATTAAGCGTTCACTTTGTTTTTCATTAGCATTCTGAAAATCAAAATATTATGTCAAAAGCGCTTTGTTTATTAAACGCCAAGAACTAATGTAATTTTGCTATTTGTAACTTGTAAGACAAATTTAAAAAAAATTAAAATTATAAAAATAAATAATTGATTTCAGAAATGCCATAAATAATGTTTTGTAAATGTTTAAATAGATTGTGTCTTTATAAAAATAAAAAAAATAAAAAAAATAAACATTTTGATCAATGATTTTTGATTTTTAAAAAAATAATTTGATTTAAATAAACAAAGCCTGACAAAAAGACAGATATTTACAAAACATTTATTCTTAATTTTTCAAAAAGAAATTAAACCAATTTATCTTATCCCACTATAATGGGGCAAAACAATGGCTTTCTAACATTCTTCTCTCAAAATTTGAAATAATATTTTCACAAACATTTAGCCAACTTGAAGCTGCACATTTGTTTCAGAGTTGTGAGGGTCCAGTGATGGACACACACTGTAAAAAAAGTTCCCGAAATGTTTCTGAATATTGGGGCAGTTACGGTGCATATAGTTTTTCTAACACGTTTCTGATTATTTTGGAATCCTCTTCCTGGAATATTTAGATACATTTCGCAGCACTTCAGAAATACGTTGAAAAATTTCTGACAATTTCGGAATATTTTACTACCAACAATATTAACCGTCATATGTCAGAAGGTGTCACGATATCGAATAGAGTTAACGTGTACAATGCATTGCAAAGGACAATAATATAGAGCTTAAACACTTTATTCTCAAAAACTTAAAAGAAAAAAAAAAAATCGGTGAAAATGCACAACAGTCTTAAAAAAATAGCTTGGTCGAAATATTTCTTATTTTTTTAAATAAAGTGAGATCCTTTTTTTTTTAAATTCTTTTTTGGCCAACAGATATGCCGCACTTTAAATTAAGCGTTTACCCTGTTGGAATAAGCTGTCAACAGACTTTGAGGTAACAATAATTAAAATCAATATTTGAAGCCACGCTAAAAAAACAAATATAGATTTTCCAATCGGAGAATCGCAGATGTACCCGTTGACTTCAGGCGAAATTTTCAAGTGACAAACGACGCCATTTATAAAATGACCCGCAGGTAGAACTCACAATACAAATCTCATCAGGTTCATTTGGTAGATTTTAAAGAAAACGCGACCTTTTGTTATGGAAATATATCGAATTCCACAAGTCTCTTTTTCGCAGGTAACGCCTATGCTCGCACCCTTTTCATTGAAAACAGAACAAAATCAATGTGTTACAAAACTCGTTTCTCGAGCGCTTTTTGGAATCACTGGCGAATCCTCTGGATTTACTTCCGCAACATCTGCGGCGTATACGGTGTTACCGAAAGCGATTGTGTGTCTTCTTCGATTTGTTCCATTCAATGATTTGATGCGAAGTTTCTTTATTGTTTATGATTTTATCAAAGGAAAAGTAAACGACAACTCACGAAGTAAAATTCTCGGAAAAGCAATTTGTTTCCAGTTCACTCGCCAAGAATAATTCTAGAGGTGTGAATAAAGATGTTCTTTAAGAACAAAGGGGTTCGCTTAAACGATCATAAGGACAAAATAGAACAGTAAAAAATATATACCAAACGCTCATTAAAAACTTCTCTAATAATTTACAATTATTTGAGAGATTTCATCTAAACGATTTCCTTCGCGTTGAACAGTTGCAATGATGCCGACTTTAGCAAGACGCTGCCAAATACTTATAATTGCTGTTTGAAAAACAATCTAGTCGCAAAGTTAAGGCAATCACTACTCTGGGTACTGAAATGATCTAGCTACGCTACTGTGTTGGAGGTTTGAGTGCACTAAAATTACAGTGGAAAATAGGCGTTTAAATAGATAGTTCGTCAAAGGTTCGATAGTTCGTTTTAAGATCGAATGGATTGAAAACGGTAACATTTTGTCAAATAATCTGGGTGATCACTTAAGGTACTAAAATGATCTAAATGCGCAAATAAACCGGATTTTGGTCGTTTGCATATTCAGGGCCCGGCTTAGCTTTATAGGGTCTCGGGGCGAAAACTTATCTGGGGACCCTCCTCCGGTTCAGTAATAAAGAACCGAACTTTATGGAGGTACAATTTAAATTTTTCATCCCATTATAAATAACAAGAAAATTGACTTGAACCTAAAATAGCTATAAATCCCCCCTCCCCCCAATGGTCAGACGAAATATCGCTCTGTCCATTTCATTGATTTTCTGGCAATTCTATGTTCATCATGCCACATGCAGTTTTCCGATTGTTAACTTTGTCATCTATCTGCGAAAAATTTATATCCTTGCTGACATTAGGGCAGAATTCAACAAAATTTTCGCAATTACAATGGCTCAATTAGAAGCCTGTATTTTTGTAAACATTTTGCTATAAGTAAAAATATAGGCTTTTGATTGGCCAAATTTGTCCACCGTAATTGCGAAAGTTCAGCTAAATTCCGCCCTAAAAAGCCACAGATTTACGAAATATAGATTGTGTTCATGCTATAGATTAATGAAGAAGCTAACTAAGACTGACGGATTTCACACTGTACTGATATTTTGTTTAAAAAGAAGTTCATTAAAGAAGGAAACTTATAAACTTTCTATTCGACTTGGGGACCCCCTGATGTGGGGGCCCGGGGCAACTGTCCAGTACGCCCCTGCCTTAGTCAGACTCTGTGCATATTAGTAGCGTCATCGTTGGAATGATTGAGGTAGAATGAACTGAACGAGATAATAATGTTCACACATCAATTTGCTAGTAAATTTTGGGCAATCACTCAGGCTACGCAACAAAAATATAACTTAATGTATTTTTTTAACTAACTCTTTAACTGCGGGCTGACTTAAATCAGAAAAAGTAAATAAAAAATCAACCGTCTTGATATGTTTTATAATAGCTAAATGACATCATTTT